GCCTTACCCAGCTTAAGCTTTTCACGGGACCAGCAAGAGGGACCCGAACCAATCCTTCGGAAACCAAGAGACAGACCAAATTACTTATCCAGCCTACAATGATCTAGCTTACAACCAACTTTAGAACAAACCAACTCCAAACTATCAAAATTCCGCTTAATCTACCGTACCACAACCACTTTTCTCTCCAAAAGAATACGAAAACACAAGGCGACGCCCACTGTCTTTGTTTGGTAGGTTGCCTATCCTGTATACTGTTGTTGTTCATTTTTTGAAGCTATAAAATTAAACGGCAACAGAAAAAAACGAAAACTTTCTTCTTCTTTTTTTTTTTTTTCTAATATTTCAAAACAGAAGTGGTCGAGGCAGTTCTACCCGGTGTTACCAAGGAAAGGAAAAACCTGCTGGAAACCGGGGCCAGCGTCCCAAGACCACTCAGCCTCCAAAGGTAGAAGAACTTCTCAAAGTAGCCTTGAAGCACAGAAAAAACGGTGGCTGGACTAATCATAACAGAAGCTCTCCACTCCTTCAAACTAAAATGCAATATCTTTCATAAAAAAATAATAATAATAAAAAAAAAAAATTGCAATATCCTTGCTGCACAGGAAAACGCCGGCGTGCTTCTAAGATCGAACCACTATTGGCAAAGACCAGAGAGCAGCCCATTATAATCTGCAGCTCTCGAAAATGCACAAGGGGGAACACGAAAAATTATACTGTATTACCCTAAAATATCCTAAACCGCTACACGCATACCCTAGCACTTGAAGCTTCGAAAAACTAAGAACGAACATATACTCGCTACCTATAAACTCAGAGAACAGGAGCTAAGCAAGAAGAAGGCTGTAGGGTTACCCTCCCATCGTCACTATCCAGTCACGCTGTGAAGAGCCTTTGTTGCCTAGACGGGTTTCCCACCACGCACCCAATGGATAAAACTCTAGTTTGCTCTTCACCGGGTCTCTCGTCTCGTCCAACCATTGGTATTGAATTTCCCGCTATTCCTCGTGCTAACTATTCTTATAATAACTATAATGGACCTTTCTTTTCACAGAACAAACCAACTCTTTATATGTTTTTTTTTTTTTTTTTTTTTTTTTTTTTTTTTGAATAGCTTGCAATATATTCACACAACAAGTAAACCGAGGCCGGGAATCCCTCGACATCTCAACGCGGAAGAAACTCTGGGGCCTTTACCCAGTATAGGCGTGTGCTGGAAACCCGGTCCAGCGTCCCAAGGTCGCAAGCTAGGAAAAAAGGATGCAACTGGAAATAAACTGCGCCTGCAGGAAAAATTACAGATCCAGTGTCCCATTCAACTGGATCTTATCTATATGATAAGTTCCGTGGCCTCGTCCCATAGATGCTTGGAAATTACTATCCTGCCATTCTCTGAAAAAGTAATCCATTTAAATGGTTTACCCCAATCTGTTTCCATTCTAACTTTTGCCTTTTGATAGAGGACGTCAGAGAGCTTGGCTTTCCTCCATTCAGCCGCAATGAGGTTCCTTATTGCGAATTTGAACTTGTTATTGACTGTTGAATGGCACCATTGTACCCTATTAAATCGTCTCTCTCTCCTAGCCAGCCACAGTATCCAGAAACCTGTGACTCTGAACTTGTTGGCTATTACCATCTTGGCGTCTTTTGCAGAGTTCCCCATCAAAATGAACTCTTTGGTCCATATTGTTTCCGGACCGTATGCAAAGCACCACATCCTGCTGAGCCACTCCCAGAAGCCCCTAGCGACCACACATTCCCACCAGAGGTGTGCTATGTCTTCTAGGGACTCCTGGGGGCAAACATCGCAGAGAGGGTCAACCTGCATGCCTCTCTGAGAACACCAGGAAGCAGTGGGGACACTGGAATGAAGATGCAGCCATTGTAGGCCACTCAGTTTCCCTTCCAGGGTATTCATTAGCAGCACTATGAATGATGTCACCCATTGGATATTGAGGTTTGGAAGCGAAGACGTCGCTTCCTTTTTCCTCCATGAGCTCAGGATGTTCATTTTCAGAGTGGTGGCATTTGATCTCAGTGTGTATCCTGTCTTTGCACTATACTCTGAGATCGTGGTTACTGATGTCAGGGCAGATTCGTCCGAATGAACCCAACCCACCTTCTGGACATCAATCTTCCATGCTTCACGAGGCTGGCCGTCCATGAGGACAACAAACCTCTTGCTGTCGTTGTGTTCTTTAACAAGGACACCGATCTCTTGCCAGTCGTCATCCCCCTGCATGGGGATTTTATCTTGATCTTTGACGAGGTACTTCTTCCCTGGCTTCCATGATGAAGCGAGGAGTTGCTGGTCTGTAACTGCTTCCACATGGAGAAGGCTGGACTGGTTATTCCTTTTGACCCACCATGATCCTGGACTTTTCTCTTGTGGAGGGCTTCTGCCTATTGTGACCCATTCCTGGGGAATGGCCTGCATCAACTGTGTTCTTTGTTCCTCAATATTGCGCAAACCTCTCAGCTTGATTCTCATGTCTTCCAACGGGATCCAGTCCCCTGTGGTCTCGTCCATTATGTGACGGAGTAACCAGATGCCTCTTTTCATCCATCTCCGACCGAAATTGCCAGTTTTGTTAGTAACAGAGAAAGGGAGGTTTGAAGAGTTAGTGATCAACGAGTTTTCAAACAGGCACGAGTCTAAAATTTCTCTCTTGTTAGAGGGCTTGAGGACTGTGTAGGGTAGTATCCTACTCCAAGCCCTCAGAATAGGCTGCCGCGTGCTAATCTTAGTAGATGTTGCGAATGAGTGCATGAGCAGAGCTTGCCAAACTGCGCGAGGGTCACTCAGTCCCCATTCCTGTGCAAGAAGGGCTTGGGCTAGTACCATCCATGGTTGAGTATTCCTTGATGTCAGTAATCTCACTGGTCATTTTGCTAGGAGCGCGTCGTTCTGTTTTTCTAGATCGAGTATGCCCAGGCCCCCCGGGGCTCTTTTCTCTGTTATTTTCCACCAAGCAACCTTGTTAATACAAGATGGGACGCTAGAATCCCCTTTCCACAGATATTTAGTGAGAAGCTGTCTAATTAGTTGAGCAGAGGAGGCAGGGAGGTGCCTGAAGGATAATATATACCAGCTGGTTGAGAGGATGGCAGCGTTTGCCACCAATGCTCTTCCAAAGAGAGATAGGTGGCAACTTTTTGACATCTTGGAGCAAGCGTCCCTGATGCGGTTTTCAATTATGCTTCACTGTTCTTTAATGCAATCACTAAAAGAGACCGATATGCCCAAGTATCTTTCTGATTCCGCACTAGCCTTGGTCTGAATACCCAGGTCCTTGGCTAGGGGGGTATCATTAGGTGTCAGGGCCATAAATTTGTTCCAGCTAATCTTCATTTCTGATGTCGTTTCGTACATTGTTAGGCATTCTCTGAGGGCAGAGAGGGAGGAGATCGAGTTCTACGAGACTGCAGAGAAATCGTCTGCCAGCGCAGAGACTTTGAGCTCGTACTGTGGTGACACTCTCAGTCCTTTGTAGTGTCCGTGTGATCTTATCATATTTAGGAGGATTTCCATTTGGATAACAAATAAGGAAGGTGCAAGGGGGCATCCTTGCCAAAGAGACCGCGAGACTGTGAAGGGGTCAGAGATGAACCCATTTACCACAACTCTCCCGTGGGAGCCTTGGTATAGGACATTAACCCACTTTTGGAAATTGCGTCCTATACCCACCTTTTCCAAAACTGACTGGATAAATCTCCAATTAACTCGGTCGTAAGCTTTTTCAAAGTCGATCAGAATTATAGCAGTATTTGACTGGGTTAGCTTAATAAGATCGATGGCTTGTGTTATTACCATAACATTGTCTAACACCAATCTCCCTGGAACAAAACCAGACTGTTCAGGAGCGACCAGTCTGGTCATGAATGGGGAGAGGCGTCTCGCCATGGTTTTGGCCAGAATTTTCCCTGCCACGTTGAGAAGTGATATTGGACGATAGTTCCTGACATCCGATCTATCTCCTTTCTTATACAACAATGTAATCACTCCTTCGATGGTGCGTCTGCCCAGCCGATTACCGTTCAATACGTTGTTGAATACCCTTAGTAAATCTGGGCCCAATAGGGACCAAAATT